CATTTAATAAAAAACAGTTTTTTATATCACAAGTCATATTCAAAGCAAATTATAACATATATAAGTTAAAAACCATAAAATCAAGTGAAACAAAATGATTCAAATCAACTACAACATAATATTTAATGTAAAACATATTAAATAATAAATATAATTATATAACTATAATCAAAAAATAAATTTGGGGCTAAAAAAATCATAACAAACGATATTGTTTGGTTTAATTTTTTTTTTTTAAAAATCCCACATGGCTAAGAAACATAGAAGAGCATCACAAAAGTCTAAAGAGTAAAAATATGAAAACAAAACAATCCCACATGACTAATAAACATAGAAGAACATCCTAACTGACTTATATAAATAATAGAAGTAATTTGGCATTCAAAATCATGGAGCCTTTTGGTGAGCACAGAGCGAACTATTCTTTCGTTTCAATCGAGCTCGAATTTCAGGCTTCAATCGAGCTCGAATTTCAGGCTTCAATCGAGCTCGAATTTCAGGCTTCAATCGAGCTTCTAAATTTTTTTTGAGTTCGAGCCTTTTTGAGTTCGAGTTTCAATATTATATTTCAAGTTCGAGTTGAACTTGATAATTTTTAGCTCGTGAGTTTTTGAGTTGAGTTGAGCTTACTTTTAAAGTTCTCAAGTTCGACTTGGCTCGTTTAACAAATGACGTCGTTTGATTTAATTTTTTTTAGAAAAAATAAAACAGAACCGGTTCACTGTCCGGTCTTGGTTCGAACGGTTCACAGTCGGTTCAACGGTTCCTTCCGATTCACTAGTAACGATTTAACCGGTATAGAATGAACCGGACCATGCAGCGGTTTTCGGTTGAACTGGTCTGTCCGGTCCAGTTTTCAAAATACTGGTGTTTAGAGTTTGTTCACTTTTTTAGTAGATAATTTTTTTTGAGTCAATGAAAAGTGGTGTGTTTTGAATTTTATGTATAGTGGGACTTGAACTTAAGTACTTAAATTGGACTTTTACCTATCATATTAACATCTGGTTAACAAAACTTTATCTCTAGCATGTTTATCCAATAATATCTAAAGTGCCTCCACAAACACCCTAAAGCCATATCTAATTTCCAATAAATGAAACCCCATTTTGAAGTAGTTCTCATCTAGATGGGCGGTACATCCTATAATTTGTGTTCCCATATCTCATTAATAAGGAAGGGTATGGGCTCAAACTCAACAGATTTTGATTTCAAGTTTTTTTAAGAATAAAGATGTGGTATTCAGATGATTTTTTTTACATGGTTACCCAATATATTTAAGAATATTTTTCAATAATGTATCTCTATATTTTTTCAAATAAATCTTTATTTTATCGAATGATATGAATATATATGTGTTTTCTTTGTGTCAAGTAGTATGTTGATTTTTAACCCAATAATAGAGTTTAATTTCAGATCTGATGACACTTATCCAAACCCAAATTCAATTGAATGATGAGTAGAAATATATAATACTCGAAACAAATTTAAATTGATTAAAAACTTTATCTAATCCGAGTCCTGTCTGGTATTATTATATTAAAAACCCCTAATAATTATTTATTTTGAAGAACAACCCTCTTAATAGATTTGTTAGAAAAATAACCCTTAAACTACCCACATAGGATTACCTCACGTCCTGTAAAACGCGTTTAATGTATCTCGAATTTTACAGGACGCAAGACTCATCAAATGTTTCAGATAAAATCATTTAATATTAGATAAAGATAATAATAAACGTATGAAATTCATTTTTTGTAAAATGTCAAGTCTGGCTTTTTTTTCTAAACGTAAGACCATCTTATGTGACAGTTTGGAGGTTATTTTTCTAACAAATATACTAATTATTCTTAAAAAAATAATTATTAGAGGTTTTAATATAAAAACGCCGTCGTTTCTATCGTTATTAGTGAGATATTGTAATATTACGTATGTGACCTAATTCCTTCAACCCCCATGCACCGTGGGGGTAAAGCATCGCCTACTTTATAACAGTTTTCGGGGTTTCATAAAGAGACCTGTGCTGTCATCAGCATGTCTGGTGTCCGTCCTTATCCACTTATTAACATCTAAAGCAAATCCTAAAGCACATGAATTTCAGACATCCAAAGTTAAAAAGTGTCCAAAAAATTCATACACGGTGGTCAGCAATTTAATGCAAGCATTGTCGGCTAAGGTATCCATCTAGAACCTCCTCTATTGATGTGAAAGGAATTGGGGTGGTGTTGGACCCACAATTGTTGGATATGGAAACTAAGATGATGATGATCATGGTACGGGCATGATGGATGATGATGCATGTGTATCTGCTCCCATTCCATAGCAATAAATAAACATTAGACTCTGATGGCATCATGGCTCACGTTGTACGTTTTCACCTCCACTAATGCCCATTTTGCTGTGCTTTATTGCAATAACAAAACACACGTTGGCATGCATCTTGCAGGTAGAACATTGGAAGATGATTTAGGGTTTTGTTGATTCATGTTGAGATAATGAAATATGGATGGATCGAGAGAGAGGTTAGAAGTACAAGAAAATTTTAAATTTTTTATTTAATTTAAATATCTATTTATATTATTTTGAGATTTTATAATTTTCAATATAAGTTTTTTTAATTCATATTTCTGACATAAAATTTTAATTCATAAATACACATTATTCACAATTTCTTTCTTTTGCGAAAAGTTCCATCAATATCCCAAAACGGTTTTAAGTAAGCAAAGTAAATGGTCCCAAGAAAAAGCAAAATAATAAAAAAAATAATTTATACTATAAATTAAATTTTAACTAAATCAATATAACAAATTAATTTAACGTTAACTCAATTAAAAACTAACAACATTCATATATGTAGCATAATAAATATTTTTAAAATATAATTTTTGCTCTTTCAAAAAAAAGAGATTGTCACCTTACTATTGATTATGTTTCAAACTCGTCATTTTCATTAAAATAAATGACGATTATCTAAATTGGACGTTAACATGAAGACTTGGATATGATAGTCGTTTGAGATTTTGGGATTAGATCTTATCATATCACAGTTAACAGATTAATGTTTAACTCAGAATATCGTCAATTTTTTTAATGGAAAATGATGAGTTTGGAACATAATGAATAGCGGGTGACCATTTTGTAACTTTAAATAGTCGAGAGACTCAACAAAGCAACGCACTATAATTAGAGAACTATTTTATAACTTTTAATAATCGATGAGCTTAATAAAACAATATATTATAATCGGAAAATCATTTATACACTTTACCCTAAATATTATACGTCTATTGTTATTTATGTAAACTATATGTTTGATTAAAAAAATATTATTCACATAAATAAAATATAACGTAAAAAATAATATATAATAGATGAAGATTGCTTTTTTTAGTAACTATTTTAGTAAGTTAGGGTGATGACAATTTAGTATATGTTCTAGATATTTTCAATCAATTTATATTATATATTTAATTAAAATAAATATTATAAAATTATAAAATAGAATTTTTTATCTAATTTTTAAATAATCTAAAGTGATTATAGGATAGTACCTATTTAAAAAAAAATTAATTTATTGATAGTGGACACACATCCTACATATGCATATGGTCAAACGTGAAATCTCTAAAAAATAATCTTTCCTTTTACTGTTGAGATCACTTAATGAGTTTACTTATCTGATTTAAAATTTATTGATTATGCTTGAAAGAATTATAATTAAATTTTGTATATATGACACTCAAATGCGCAATTAAATACTCATATTCAAAATTAATAAAAGACCACTCAACAATATTATCGATCTACATGTATGTACTATTAACTTAGACAGTGATTACAAAGCGCCGGAACTTTAATTTTAGAAGTGAAGGGTGAAATTTCTAGAAATGAAAAAAATTGACCAAATGAATTGCACACACGTGTGAAACTAGACAATTCTAAAAGTTAAAACTATATTCAGATGATAGTTTTGGGATGTCTAAGCTAGGGCTGCATTAATTTAAGTCAGAAATGTATTATCGAAAATGTTAATATTTTTTTTAAATATTTTTGATTAAATATTACTTAAAATATTTTTTTATTGAAAATATTAATATTAGACGTTATCTAAAATGTTTAACATTTCTAGTAAAGCATTATCTAAAATATTTTTTTATCGAAAATGTTAATATTGGGTACTATCTAAAATGTTATTTTTTTTCTATCGGAAATTAGATACTGAAATTAATATTTTCAGTAAAAATTAATGTTTTAGGTAGAGCTTTACCGTAAATGTTAAAAAAATATTAACATTTTCGATAGGATCTTTTCTTAACTGTATATTAAGATTATCGTACAACAGAACTACCCGATAATTTAAGGTGATTCTATGATACCTTAATATAAAGCTAATGAAAAGTACAACTTACACTATTATAAATAATATAATATTTTAAATTACGTGCAACTTAAGATATTAATATTTTAATATATTTTTAGTTCTATAAAAATTATTATAAGAAAATAATATTTTTATTACAACTTAAAATATTACGAAGAATATTTAAATCTACAAAAAAATAAGAAAAAAATTAATATTTTAAACTATACCAACTTAAATATTATATTTATTTATAACATTTTAATTAGCGTTTTTTTATCTTTATATTAGACTACTACACCATAAAACTCCCCTAATATTGATCGTTAAGTTTTTAAATATTATGAAATAATTATTAAAATTCTCAAATAATTAAAAAAACATCATTAATTTATTAAATTTTATAATTATTATAAAGTTATAAATCCTATAAGAATTAAAATATATAATTATAATCTTAAACAATAGCAACAACCAATTGATTTAGTGAAATAAAAACGCATCTCTTAAGCAAGTCAAGAATACAAATTTTGACGATTGTAAATAGAGTAAACTGAATTAAAAAAATTATCTTTATCTCTATAACATTTGATCCAAATTAATCAATCAATAAATCAAATATTAATAATCATACCCAAAAAAATAATCTCAAACAATAGTATATATATATACAAAATACAAAGCAAAATTTTCCTATTTCATTTTCCATATTGATTCATGGCTTCTATTTCTTTCTATTTACATTTCCCATCACTATTTGCCTAAAATACACTCATGTATAACACCACCAAATCCAAGTAAAGAGAGAGAAAAACTTGTCTTGATGATAAGATTAAGTCCTAAAAGATCTGTGCTTCATTTTTCCACTAGTTCATAATTTTCTTGCATCATTTTCCACCTGTATTTTATATCTTTTCTGCTGCTTCTATATACAAAGATTAATATTCTATTATTAGACCTGTGCCATTGGAGCTCTATGGGGAATCCCTTTTCTCCGTTTTGCACTCCGGTGATTAATCGATATCGGAGGCGTCGTCAAATGACTAAAGCTCTGCACTTTGTTGTTCTCGTCGTTCTTCTTCTTCTTCTTCAGCTTTCCATGGCTGCTGCTGAACGATGAATCCTCAGAGCCTGATTCCATTCTCATTTGCCTTTTATTCTGTAAATTCTTTGATGTGCCAACAAACTGCAATGACAAAAAAAAACACATAAAATCAAAAACCTTTTCACTTATCCTCCACTTTCCCATCTGCCAAACAGAAGTTTTAGAGAAACTGGGATAGATTTACCTTGCAACCGAGGGAGCAAAACCGAAACGAGTCGACAAGGCTACGATCGCAGACTTCACAGTTGTTGATTACACCTTTTCCAGGCCTCGGTTGCGGCCTTTCGTTTATGAAAACAACCTTAGCACTGTTGATTACATAGGTTTGAATCCCAGATATGTCTAAATACTTTTGAATCTCAGATACCCTTATTACATCATGGTACGAAGATCTCCTTATCTGTCCAAACACACACACACCATCAGCAAAAAATCGAAATTCATTCCCACGACATAAAATTTATGCGTCCGTCACTCGATTCATTGTACCTGAATGTAACGATGATCCTTGTGATAAGCAAGGCAAAAGGAACAGAGAGCGCCGTTCATGCAGTCTAAACAGTACATATTGCATTCACTCTTGTGGGAATCTAGATGAAGCTTGCATTGAACGAAGAACTGTTCTCTCAACAAAGGTTTCATCCATGGCGGCCACCTGTTGTTGTCTTCTTCATCGGGCCCCTATCATTCAATCAAAATTCAATTAAAAACACATTTTTAACGAATACCCAGATCGATAAACCCAGAAGAAGAAAAACATGAAACAGAAACTGAGTGAAAAAAACAGAACAATGAGTTAGAAAAAACGTGGCTTTTACCATGATTCTTCTGTTCTTGGGCTTGATCTCACGGATGTATGATTCTCGATCGCCAGCTTGAATGAATTGAAAAGAGAAAACTCCTTGAAAAACAGTGAACTCTGTTTTTTTTGGGACAGAGAAAACAGAGATAGCGTTCGAGAGAGACTAAAATAAAAGAGGGGAAGAGAGGTTGTTCTTATCTACCAGTTCAGACACAAAGTCCACTAACCGAACCTATTTCCGAACCTATTTCCGAACCTGGGTCCGAACCTGACCCCCTTTGAGCTCGATTGGAGATGCGTTGGGTGCAAGGAACTGGAATTCTTTCCATTTTATTTTAGGTTAAATTACACATTTTCTCACATAACTTCTTGAATCATTTTGCTTATTTTACCATTAATTTTTTAATTATGTTATGACATGACATAAACATCAAAACGACGTCGTTTTGAAAAACTCAAATATACACCAAACGAAGTTGTTTCAAATCCTCTTCTTTAACACTATCGCCCACCGTCGACCACCATAAATGGTGGTCGTTTGGTCTCAAAATTTATGGATCGGTTTGTTTCGACTCCTTGAGTTCAAATTTAGTTGTTGTTTCACCGAAAAATGTCCCAAAATCTATGAATTTCGATTGAACTGTTTTGACTTCCTCATTTTCCATATCTAATTCATTGACTTCGGAACAAGTTCTGACAAAATGAAGGGTCAAATTTGAACTCAAGGTGTCGAGGTGAAGTGGCCCATGAAACTTGGGGTCAAATGGTCACCATCTACGGCGGTCGACGGTGGTCGGCGGTGGCATCGACCACCTTCTGTTTTTATTTTATAGTTGGGTGAGCAAAATAGGAGAGAGAGTAAACTTCAGTGAGGAATGATTTAATTTACCCTTTATATTTTCATTTATTTTATATTATATAATAACGATAGAGGGAGTAAAATGATTCAATCTATAAAGTTCAGTGAGCAATTTAGAAAAATTAAAAGTATGATAAGTAAAATAGGAGAGAAGATAAAGTTCAGTGAGGAACATTGTAATTTACCCTTTATTTTATTAGAATTTTGTGTTTTATTTTGTTTCTCTATGGAACGTTTTTGTTGTAACATATTATTTTTCATATAATATAAAAGTAGAGGTAAGTGAGAATATCCTAATCCTTTTTAATTTATCATGAAGTAATTTAAAAAATTATCGGTTAAAGATTTAGAAATTTAATGCTTCTAATAGTATAATTAACAAGCAACATTGTTAATTAATCAACAATTATATTTCCTTCACGATAAATATATTGTACGAGCATAACTCATAATTTTAGAAGCATTATCTTTGTAAAACATTTGATCCAATGAAAACTACTTGGTTGCAATTTGTATTTTTTTTTTCTCCGAGAGAGGTTATTTCTTAAGGTTTGAGTTATAAATTTTAAGTAATATATTTTCTTTAATTAATCAGATGTAAGTACAAGGTAATAATTGTTCAAAAACAAATTTCAACCATTTGACATCGAACGCTCGTAACTTGACATTCCTAATATCCGAACCCAAAACCTCAAAAAATAATAATAATTTCTTTCTCTTTTCATATTTAAGCCAACAATCCAAATAAAAATTAGCTGACCTTATTCTCATATGTAATGGGGTGAGGGGAGGTAAGGTAGTAGGCTGCCCCCAACGTCAGGTTGAGAGCAGCTTCCGTGGAAGACCTACGACAGTCAAAAATTATGAATTGCCCACGTGAGAATTACATGACCTTATATTAAAAGTCTTGCGCTCTACCAATTGAGTTGGACGGACAATTCCAAATACCAAACTTTTTTATAAACATCTTACCTCAATTTGATGGTCCTAGAGGAAATATGTGATGCATAACAAATATTTTGGATGAGCGTGACCTTTGCCTACCTATAATAGCATTTTTAAAAAGCAACCCATATAAAATAAAAATAGTAGGTACATGAGTAATCAATGGATTCCATGAATCGATGTAGGGTATAGTAGCTTAATCTTATTCAAGCTTTACCTAAAGGGTTGCTAAATTGGCAATTTGTTTCTTCCCATGCTATTCATTTAGAACAAATCATTGGTTTTTGTTAGCCCTTTTGTACATATAAACAGATTTGAACTCGAAATTTTAATTCAACTGATAAAATAGTGTAAGAATTGTTCTTTATTTTTCTCATAACTCACTTCAATATGAGTTGAATACCCATAACCCAAATACAATCTATGTAGGGATCAAATATTGAGAGGGATGATATATTTCATTTTAAATAATAAGTATTTATTATGTATTTAATCTTAAACTTTGGGAGGACAAAAGTCTAATTTTACTTATATTTAAATTGATAAGGACCTAAAATGCTATTAAATCAAAAATTTTAGAAGGGCCAGGGGCGAATCTAGGCCTGGGCCCACTTAGTCCATGCCCCATGCCCAAAAAAGGGTAAATTATTTATTCATACACCAATTATTATTTAATTTCTATTTGGTCATTCAATTATTATTTATTTTAAATCATACTCAATGCTACATTTTAGTTCTATTTTGGTCATTCGTCTTTAAAATATTAGCGGTGATGTTGATGTATCATCATAAGATAATGACATCTTAAGATTGAAAAATAATTAAAAAAATATATCATATTAACATCATTCTTAAATTTTTTAACGCTAGGTGATCAAAATAGAACCAAATCATAAGTTTGACTATAATTTTAAAAAATAATAGTTAAGTGACCAAAATATAAATGAAGTAATATGTGGGGTGACCAAATAATTAGTTTACCCTAAATAAAAAATATGTATGAATTATGTTAAAAATTATATTAGTCCCATTAATATACTTTTTCTAAATGTAATCCATATATACATACATATATGTGTGTATATATATAAATTTTATTATATTTTTAAATTAAAAATATATAAGGATTATTTTAGATAACATTTTTATTATGTATATATTAGTCCGGCCTGTAATTTTTTTTTGAATTCGCTACTGCCCCTCTCATTCCCTATATAGCTTCGTACCTCTGTTCCTAAATCTAGGAATACTCATAAGAATAAGAATAAGAATAAGAATAAGAATAAGAAACATATACTAGACAAGTCTAATTAAACAAATGATGTCAAATATGAAACCCTTAATTGAAAATTTAAGTTAGGTCTGATATTCTTTTATATTAGTTTTAAATTGCAATAATAGAACCCCGAGCTTCACATTATTTTTTGTGTGTTTTTATAAAGAATTTATTCTTAGAGATATTGTTATAATTATTTATACAAGAATAGGATGCTCAAAGAAAAAAAAAAGGTAAAATATAATATTCTCAAATAATTTTTTAAGGTAGAATTACAATGAAAAAAACAAATTACTAATAAATAAGACAGAAAATCACAATATAACTTGAAAATTAATTTTGAAAATTTTATATATTTTAAAAGAGTTTTTTTTTTAGAGTTTTTATAGAACTTTTAGTAAATTTTAATAATACTTTAAAATTACAGTTTTTTTAATATTTTTACACGTGACAATACCTCATTAAAAAAACTGAATGAAATATAAAATCAAACTAATTAAAAATAATAAAAAATACATTATAATACATAATTGAAGATCTTCCTTAAAGGCATATTAAAAAAATATAACTTTTCACATCTAGGGTCGTCTTGTAAATTTTGGTGGTCCTGTGCCATAACAATAAATAGGCCTTTTAAAACTAAAATATTAGATATATAAAGAAGTTCACTAATATTTTAAAATTTGGTGGCCATATACCATAACAGTAAAATAAGCATTGGACATGAAAATTCTTCAGCCAAATATCCTAAATACACATATATACAAAAACTTAAAAAAAATTGGAGGCCCTTATAAAAATTGGGCCTTGTACGGTTGGGCAACCCGCACAAGCCCAAAATCAGCCCTGCAAAACGACAGGGCCGTCTTGTAAATTTTGGTGGCCCTGTGCCATAACAATAAAATAGGCCTTTTAAAACTAAAATATTAGATATATAAAGAAGTTCACTAATATTTCAAAATTTGGTGATCCTATACCATAACAGTAAAATAAGCCTTGGACTTGAAAATTCTTGGGCTAAATATTCTAAATACACATACATACAAAAGGCTTAAAAATTTTTGGAGGCCCTTACAAAAATTGGGCCCTGTGCGGTTGGGCAGCCCGCACAGGCCCAAAACCGGCCCTGGTCACATCAAAGGTGCGCTTAAGAATGAGCATTCCCTAAAAGCATATTAAAAAATATATAATTTAAAAAAATTGAAAAATAAAACTATATAGACTAACAACATAATATTAGTTCCATGAGTTAAAGAGTTTAATGATGATATTTTATATATGCATATTGAAGTGTTTAGATTATGTTTCTTGACAATGTAAGATAAAAGCTAAAAGGTGTATTCCTTAATTTTTTTTATCTTTATATCTAATGAATCCACTTATACACTATTATTAAATTACATTAGGTTAATATTTATTATTAAGGTTTACATTAATTAAGATTAAATATTTTTTATATTTAAATATATTTAAATACTTATTTTTTTAATTATGAGTTCAAAGTAAATATTGAACACAAAGAATAGTAGATAAGCAACCACTCAAATAAACAATTGAGACTAATCCTAGATGCCAGTCAAAATACAATCACATTTTGCACAATTTAAAGCAACATGTAAGCAATTGAACATAAAAGAATGCAAATAAAAGCATACTACAGCTGCTCAAGAACTTCCAAATTACCTTGGTACTTGCTTTTTCTAGCTTGTTTAGCTCTATGCTATCATTTTCTACCCTGGTACCCATAAGCAATTAATTCACAAATATCTACCTTTCAGGTAGAAAATCATGTCACATACTAACTACAGGAAACAAACACTCATTGTAAGACTTGTGGATAAACAACAATGGTAATTGTATACCTATATGGTATGTGTATATGAGTTTGAAGATCCCTATACCTTTTAGCAAGGCCGTGATCAATGACGTACACCTGTTACAAAATCAATGTGATGATTAATAGCAAGTCAAGACATTTAGTTAACAGCCCTTTGCATAAAAAATATATACATCTACAATGACATTCGGAATATATAGTTACCAACA